ACAGTGGCAGCACTGCTTAAAATTTGCTTTTCGCATTTTCTTATTCTTGTAATGTCATTGTCCAGGTCACTGGGTCTACAGGAAATTTAAGGCAGCCACTTTAACCTCTGAATCTTCAGTCTTTACTGAAGTCAGAATAATGGCACTACAAAGGTATGTTTAAACATGTACTGTTATATATGTCCTTTGGAAAGTCTTGGGATTGATGAAATATTGCTGAACACTCATTTTTCTCCACAGGCTAATCTGTCCAAAGTCTGAGCAGGTTATTTAAAATTTCAACCACTTCTAACAGAATGGTCATTCCTGCACCACTGATAGGAACATCTGGATTTTATTCCGGAAGCATTTTACAGTTCCGGCTGCTAAAACACTTTTTCTCGCCGGAAACTAGTCTGTGAAGGTTTAATTTTGTTCACCTGCAAAATTCCATTTGCATGACCTTTCCATTGAAATGCACATGCAGCAGCCCTCAAACTGAGAGGAGCTGACAGGAAAATAAATCACAGAGAGAAGTGAGTACATCACTGCCACACTGGCGGACACTTTGAGACCTGCTGAGAACTATTCTCTTTCAAAGCAAAAAATAGAAAACGCAGACAAAATCAAAGCCAAATGGGAAGAGTTATACCCTCAGAATAAATTAGGAGCATATAAATACATGTTCTGAAGGAGTCCCCCACTCTTTTCCAGAAGAAACTCACACAGTAAGTATGTCATGCTTGTACTTGCAGTGATTTAAGACAGATGGTAAATTCAATGCATTAGCCCCACGAAGAGATTAAACTGGTGCCAAACAGGAAATATAAAGCACGTCTCGCATTTCACATGGGCAGGAGGATATTTATATGTGTATGTACTTGTAGATTTAAAAATGTATCTATTATGCATGATATATACACTGTTTGCTATATATTGTATAATTTTGTACTGTCTATAACATTAATTATATAATACAATATTGTATAGTGGACCTATAGAGTTTGAATGAAGTTGCAGAACTCTTTTGTCTCCTTTGTGGACACAGTTTTTTCTGCAGTGTCAAAAACCTTGCTGAAGTCCAGGTAGTCACCATTTCTCTCTGAGAGTCTGTATATGTACGTTTATTTAACATTATTTATCTATTTAACATATGTGTATATCTCATCTCCAGGGTGCACAGACGGATCTGCCCTCGCAGCGTGGCGTTATGCACTCAGTCACGCTGAGGGGAACAAAACGGAAAGGACATTTTCCAGAAACTGAAACTGCCATCAGGATTTGGGCATCGCGCACTCCTCAGGAATCATGTCCAGGTACGCTGGCGGGCAGCCGGGCAGCTGCCGGCCCCGGCAGGGACCCGCTGCCCGCCCGGCACCGGCGGCCCGCCCGCCCCTCACGGCCTCGGCCCCTCGGCCGCCCTCGCCGCCCCGCCCTTCCGGCGGCGCCGCGTCACTTCCGCCGGGCCGGGGAGGACGAGATGGCGGCGCTGGGCGAGCCGGTGCGGCTGGAGAGAGGTGAGCGCGGCCGCGGCCCGCACGGGCGCTCCTCCGCTCTCTGCTCGGGCGGGCGGCGGCGGTGGAACCCCTGGGCGGCCCGGCCCGGGGCCGCGGGGCGGCGGCAGCAGTGGCCGTGCCGTGCCGCGCTCCCGGCCTGCCGCAGGAACCGAGCCGCTGCTCTCCGCCGGGCGCAGCCGCGGCTGATTCGAACGGCTGATCGGATTTGAACAGGGTGCCGTCGGTTCTGGCTCTTGGAAGCGTTTCGGTGGGGCCGACCTCTTGGGCTTTGCTTTGTGCAGCCACCGGAGGCTTCTCTCCGTTTCGGTTTGCGGCTGAGTTTCCATGGGGGCACTCGCCTGGGGCCTTCTGTAGCTGTGTCTGCTCTGCCTTCGCTGCTGGTAACGCTTCAGCCTGCTCTTACTCAGCTTGCTGTCTCTTGGTTTCTGCTTCTCTCTTGGGAAAGCTTCATCTTGAACACAGCAGAATTCTTAGAGTTCCGAGTTCAGTTCGTTAGCTGTGTGTTAGGAATAAGAGTTTACTTCTTTCACAGAAGACGGCTGACACATGCAGGGGTCCCGCTACACTTGTTCATTATTGTCTTCTGTTACTCTCTGATTCATGTTTTCTAGTATGTATTCTTAATTTATTGTTAATACATGCAGTGTGTGACTGAAATTAAGAGCAAAACAGAAAGTATAGAACCTAGTTGGGTATTTTTGTGTAGTGCGTTTGTGAGATTTATCCCCAGTTGTTAAGAAACAATTATAAATTTCCTTCAATGTGATGATCTGGTGCTGTGTAAGGCCCACAATGCTTTTATTACAATATAGGTTATTGGTTTGTTGGTATGGATTTAGGACAGTAGGGACTGGAAAATGAATTTTACATGGGAAATTATTATTGATAATTAGAAATTATATTTTTGAAAAGGAAAACAGGAGAAGTAGAGGTGACTGATTGCTCTGACTTTTCCCCCTACCATTCCCACTAGCACCACCACTTTTGCTCTTGGTGCTAGATGTATTTTTGTGGGTGTATAACACACTGTCCATACCCACTTTATTTTTCTGGTACCTCCTGAAGAGCTCCGTTTTTCGGTTTTTTTTTTTGCTAGCCCTGCTTCCCATTCCACCCGGGAACCCCTTGTAGTGTGTGAGTTGGCCTGTAAACAGTGAGTTATGTAAGGCCTCTGCTTCAGGCAGCTCATCCACTCTCTGCTCCAAAGCTTGTTAATTAGGGCAGCTGCTTCAGCAGTGGATTAGTTGTGCTTGGGAGGTCTGCAGATTTAAGGCTCAGGTCCCATCCTTCACCTCATTACCCTGCCGCTGTGCTCTGTCCCTGAAAATAAACAAATCTGCAGAGTTCCTTCGGGATCAGTGAAACAAAGGAGCTCTTTGGTCTTTTTTAGGGAAAGGAGAAAAAGAGAGCCCCTTATAATGGACCCACAAAAGCAGGAGCCTTATCTACAGAAATAGGTAGCTGTTAATTGTGTGGGGATCACTGCACTTAACCTGATGATGAGTCATAATTAGCTTGAAAGTCGCTAATGGCGTTGGCATATAGCATAAGAAAAGAGAGAATCCTGTAGAAAGGAGCTGATTTTAAGTCGTTACTCTTACCAACTGGGCAACTAGAAATTCTTGTGTCTTTTCTCCTCCGAGCTGGGTTGCAAACACCATCGCCCAAAGTCAACCAGAGGGCAGGAATGAAACCACAGTTAACGTTTCAGTTCTTGTTACAGTTTAGTCTTGGTGTGCTAACTCTACACACAGCTCAGCGTCTAGAATGCTTGCACATAAGCAGTGTGGGTTGGTTAATCAGGAGTATCCCTGAGGATGCTGTGTTTTGGTCACGCATGCCATCCTGCTGGCTTTTGCCCCCCTAAATTCACTTAGTTTAAATGTTTCTTTTTTTCAGGATTTCAGTCTAGTATTCCAAAATATGATTCGTGAAGAGCAGGCAGTTTGGTATAAAAAGGAAGAAAAGGTGAAAAGAAAAGCAAGTTTTCCATTATGTATGGGTTCTTTTTTACAGTTAGTTTTATGGTTTGGATTTTTTTTAATTGTCCATCTCTGGAGTTAGATCTACATTGATCCTTGTTGAAATCCATTGTTGGATCACTTGTGTACTATTCATTTTGGTCTCTGGTGCTGAACAGTTGGCTAAGCTATGGTGTTCATATTGTGAGGAAGGCAGCTTTCAGCTGATCATATTGCAGCTAGTCATTCAGGAGGAAGCAAATGACCTCAACACAGTAGTCTACAAGCTTTTCTTGAAAATGAGAGAAGGTGTGTTTTGCCCCTTATTCCCAGCAAATTTCTTTTTCCTAAGGCAGTATTGCTGGGAGATGGAATACTCAGCTTTTGACATGTGGTGCCCAGTGCAGTTCAGTAGAAGAAAGTTGCGCTTCCGCTCTGGTGTAATGGGATCCTCTCAATAACACACAGCAAAACAGCTGCTGGGAACTGTGTCCTGCTGATGGGATGTGTTGTCTCCATCTACCTGAGTAAGAACTCTGGTGTGGTAGAGTATTGAGTACTGAGGCTCTAACTTCCGTGCTGTGTCTGATTGCTCTGAGTTTTTACTTTATAGCAGTAGTTTGGTCCTTCAAACTGAAAACACCTTTTTATTCAAGTGTGTCCTCTGCATTAGTTTCATCTAAAATGAATCCAGTTCAGTGTATCCTAATCACTTTTTGAGAAGCTGATTGTGTGTTCTTAGTCTGTAGTTAATGAAAGACACGGCTGGTTCCCAAACAAACCAATTTTACCCTAGGGTAAAAAGTGCTGTGCCATTAATTGTTTTGTCCGTTAAGAGATGCAGGCAGGAAGCATGTCTGATTTAATGACAAAACATGAAGGTGAAAAAAAGAGGAATTATCCCTCGGAATTCTGGTGTCTTCATTCCTACAGCTACTCCTTGTACCAGTACATTGTTGTCACCATTTAAAGTTTCTTGCAGAATCCTAATCAAACTGATAGCAGGTTTGTACACCTTACATCTTAACGTGGTTCATACACCATAGGCTCAAGAATGGCTACTTGGAGCTGTAGTCTTTATGTGCGTGTAACAATCATTTGTCTGAAAACATCTGCAAGTATTGAAATGGTAGTGGTGTTGTAGTTGATAGATTTGCCAGACATTTGTCATTAATACGTGGTGTGTTGTCAGGTTGGAAGTGCTGCCACTGCCATTTGATCATAGCTCTTCTTGATGAATGAAGTGCTACGTTAATCAGTAGTGCTGTTGCTGAACACAGGGATTACTAAGAACGTTGGTGATTTTGCATCATCTAGAATGGCTTTAATTTCACCAGCTGTGTTGGATTTTGAATGAAATACAAAATATATCTTGGGAAATAAGCTTTAAATGTGGGAGGTTTTTTCATTTTGCAGTTATACAAATAGTAGCTGTGAAAAATGTGTTCTCTGTAGAACATGGGATTATTAGTAGATAATTTAGGTTTTGGTACTGTGTTGCTCTAGGTAGCTGATGCTTGTAAATCTTGGAAATGCTTGCCAGAAAGCTCCAAGTTCTCATGGCACATGGAAACATTAACTACCATCAGAAATAATTTGAGTCTTGGGGCTGTGGTACTTGAGTGTTTTCCCATGAAGGATTTGTTTCCAGTGCGTGGATGACCAGTCTGTGCGGTTCAGGTATGCCTTGTTCAGTCAACTGCATGACCTGGTCTCGATCTAGAGGTTTGTAGGGTGTGTCTGATAATTCCTGTGAGGGGACACAACACTGCTGTGGGCTGCGTCCTGCCAGTGCACTTCACCCTGACTTCAGAACATGCACCCTGCTGCCTTCTCATCCTGTTGTGGAACTGCTCTCTTTTTACACTTGTGTTCTAGAGGTTCGTGCCTTTTGCATGTCCTCTGTGCTGCCGTGATACCATTGAGCAGATGTGCATGCTCATGAAAAATGAGTACCTAGAGGTTAATTACAGAAAAAAGGAAGTAATGTCTTTGGGACTAGCAGTGTTCCAGACTTCATCCTGTTCTAAAATGATCTGTGCATAATTTTATATAGTAGCTTAATCACTGCTTTTTTGTCTTCCTGATAATGAAAGTAATCCTTTCTATCTGCTTTTCTAAGAGGCTGTTCTAGTTCTGTTCAAGGACTTCTGTGTTTCAGAATAATCACTAATGTAACAGTTTGGAAGTGCAAGTGAGGGATGTGAATGTATTCTGCTCTTCTGGTGCTGCCAAGAGAATGTCACATTGCATTCAGTGCCTCTCTTGAGTCATTCTGGTCTGGAGTCAAATCCTTCATGGAGTTTGTTACACAGAGCAGCATTTATGAGGAAATGGACAATGTGAACTCTTAGGAACAAATTTCAAGGAACTGAAAGAGGTTTGAGGTTCAGGATTCTAGACTATGGAGATGTCTCTCAGCTGAGAATATCAAAAGGAATTCTGCTGGTTTTATAAGCATTTGAGGAGGGAAAATAAATAGGCCAGATCATTTTCAGCCCTCTTCTATGGGCAGTATTGAGAATACCTTACTGAACTAATTTTTGAATATAAAATGCATGTTAGACAGCATATTTGATAATATTATAGCTGGTGTTAACAAAATGCCATCCGTAGAGTATCATGAAGTGTACACTACCAATACTTTCATACTCATAGCAATATTTCAGTCCTTTGAAGGAAAATTGGATAGTCTTTGCAATGTGCAATATCTGTGATAGCTGCAGATATGTTACAGGGTTGTTGTTGTGGCTGATTTATAACAAGCTGGAAGTGGTATTTTATTGTAGCATTTTGTAAATACATAGTTTTATGGGTAGCAAAACCTAAGTGTCACACACAAACTGCTCCATTAACTTAATTTAAAAAAAAAAAAAAAAAAAACAACAAAACAAAGATACCTTGAGGCTGACCAGGCATTCCTCATTACTAGTGCTTTATTTTTCTCATAGACATCTGCAGAGCAATTGAATTGCTGGAAAAATTACAGAGAAGTGGGGAAGTGCCACCACAAAAGCTACAGGCATTGCAAAGGGTTCTGCAGAGTGAATTCTGTAATGCTGTAAGAGAGGTAAGTGAACTTGATGCAAGCAGTTACCTTCAGTTAAAGACCAGTATGATTTACTTTTTCCTTTTTGTACTCAGTGCATTAAGCTGATTTTGAACTTCATAAAGCAGCATTTAATTTACAGAGCTTAACAAAACAAACCTTATTTTTAGGTAATTTCAAAATAAAATAATTTGGGACACCTTAGGTGTATAAAATAATGGCTTGGTGGCAAGTCACTTCTTAAAGGTTATTTTGAGAGTCTGTCCTTACTGGCAGCTAACAGGATGTCATCCAGTTGGTATGTAAGAATAGACCAAGTACCAATTGCCCATGTAAGACAGAGTACCAAATGGTTTTTTTTGAGCCACATCCACACCATGTTTAGGTGGAGTCTTGTGCCACATCATCTTCATCCCAGGTATTGTTTTGGAGACTTCTAGGTGATTGGATGTGCCTTGCTATTGCTGTTGCTTATGTTAATACTGATGATAACAGCTGGGTAGATTTTTAAAAAACCTGTTTGTAGACACGTGTCCTCTTGATGTTTTCATGCCCTTGAGGATGCTGTACTTGTTGCTTAGCAAGTACACATGGTTGGCAGGGAGATGAGATGTGGGTTAGCCTGCAGTGCAAGCCCCTCCTTAGCATTAGTATTCTTACGGTCTCTGTGTTTTCAATCCTTTTGAAAGGATGAAGATAGTTGCTGAAGTTCAAGTAAAATTTGGGAGCTTTTGGGGAGGGATGGGTGGTCAGCAAAGCCTTGAAGAGCTGCCCTGAAGTGCTTCTGTGTGCATCCGTGTTGAGCAGTTCCAGCTGGAGTGAGGCATGGCAGCCCAGCCATCAGCATTCCCAAAGTCCTGGTGAGGTCTGAGCACTGTGCAAGGAGGGGAGCCTTAGGCTGAGACTGAGCAGCAAAAATACTGGGAGGGTTGTTCCTTCCTAGAGTGTTAGATGGCCTGTTGGTGTTGTGAGTCAGGGAGTAACATTAGAGGTGTGTGCTTTTAATGTAGGCAGTTTTGAGTTGCACCTGATATTTTGTTATGTTACCTAAGCAGGGAAATATCGGTTTTACTCATATTGAAACTGTTTTGTCTCTAAAGGTGTATGAACATGTGTATGAAACTGTGGATATCAGCAGTAGCCCCGAAGTCAGAGCTAACGCAACAGCAAAGGTAAAAGCCAAACCACAACTTGCAAAAAATACACTAGTTCATTACTTCAGAAGCAGAAGATTATATAAAGTTCAGAAGGCTGTTATCTAGATGTCTGATAAAATGGATAAGCTTAACAGGATATTAAAACGTATAACAAGACTCATGGCTTTTAAATTTCTTTCACTTCAGTTTTATTCTTAGAGTTATGAATTTTTCATGCTGGTGTTGGTATGTAGGGAATTAATTCTCATTTGTCTTAGCCTGTAAGTGCTTTGAGATGAAATACATTTTCAGCCTGCTCACTGTGTCTAGCTAACGGGACTGTATTTAATTTCCTATAAATGAGAAAATCTTGTTTCTCACAGGCCACGGTAGCTGCGTTTGCTGCTAGTGAAGGTCATTCTCATCCCAGAGTGGTTGAACTACCCAAAACAGAAGAAGGTCTTGGCTTCAACATTATGGGAGGCAAAGAACAAAATTCTCCAATTTATATCTCTCGAATTATCCCTGGAGGTATAGCTGACAGACATGGAGGCCTGAAACGTGGAGACCAGCTGCTTTCCGTAAACGGAGTGGTACGAGCTGCTTTTCTCTTCTTATGTAGCAGTGGCTGCTTGTTTCCACTTGAGGGGGCACAGAGAACACAGGGCACAAGCTCCTTGTGTCTTCTGATCTTGGCAAAACACTTTGTTTTTGTCCTCCCAAATTCTGGCTTAGGTTTCTGTAGAGTTGTGTGCATTGTGAGTTTTAGGATTGTTTTGGTTATCTGTCTCAAAAAGGAAATGTGCTACCTATATCAGTATTTCAGATTCTGAGGGGTTATATAAATGTAGTCAGAGAATTTTGTAAAAGACAAACTGCCTTCCTTTTTCATTGAAGTTTCATGATGCAGATTTTTACCAACAGAGTTTTTTTGCACCTTCTAAGGTAGGTAGGAAATTATGCTGTGTTACTTTTGGCTGACCAGATTCTCATTTTTCCCATAGTAAAAATGCTACTGCATGATGAAAGCTGTAATGAGATGGAACTACAAGGTGGTGTTACCTTGTATGGTATTTTTTCCTTCCACTTAACTATACTGAGCTTCAGAAGCAAGCTTTTTACTGTATTTTAAGAATTATGTGTCTGAAGTGCTGATGTGAATTTTTTTTAGTAAGTATCCTCTTCTGAAGAATTAACAATACAAAAAGTAAAACAAAGGGAGGCTGGAAAGGAAAGGTTATGGGCAGGGTTTGGCTTGAGACAGCTTTGAGTCAAATGCATGTAAATATCTCCCAAACACTGGCTTCTATTTACAGAGAGGCTCTATGCAGGCTTAAAATTAATATGCTTATTACATCTGTAAACCAAATTTTATTTTAAGACTGAGGGTCAAATTAGATTCTGGGGGGTTTTGACTCTTGAAAGGAATAGTGACTGGGTACAGATCCAGGGTGTCTGTACTCGAGGACTCCTGGCTGGCACAAATCTCGGACTATTACCTGGGAGTCCAGCTGTCCTTTACAAGAGGCATAAGGGAAATCAGCTGTAGTGATGCAACTGTGCCTGCCTTTGCCTTCTGCTATTGGGGAGCATTGAGGAACTGGTGCCAAACTGTCCTCAGATGGGTCCTTCCTCACCCACAGACTCTTACAGACAGCAAAACCACCACTCCACCCAAAACTGACCCTGATCATCAGGCAGCTGGTACAGCTAACAGTGGCTCTGTGTGCACGCACATGTATAAATATATATAGCCCTTGTGAGAATACAGTGAGTGCAGAAATTGCTGTTAAGAATGCTAATGTAGTCAGAAAAATCCTTGTCATCTGATATTTACAGATGGAATCCTGTCACCATAATATGTGACAGGCATTTTCTTGTGATTGTAATTTATACTCCAAAAACAATAAAAGAAAATGCCACTGCCAAGACTGCAGGGAATATGACTGAGAAACAAGTTTATTTTTTTCAGGTGGGAGATCTTAAGCATACTCCAGAATTTAGGTGTTTTCATAGAATTAAACAGAGCTTTACAAAGCTTTTATTACCTTTTATTAAACAGAACAGCCTACACATCCACTTGAATAACAAAAATAAAGACATTCAAATGTATGTGGTTGTCTAAGTCTGATAGAAGAGAAATAACTTGGGGTTTTTTTAACTGTTGTTTTTCTTTCTGTAAGTAACTTTATAGTAACGGGGAAACCCTCCAATCAACAGGTACATCACCTGCCTTCTAGCTTCTAATAGCACCAGTGGGAGGTAGGCTTGGAGTGGTCCTGTCATTGTGTTTCCTAAGTTTGGGAGAAAGAAGTGTTGCTGATAAAATTATGCTGTGCAGGAATGTATTGGATGCCATTTTTGAGAACCGTTGCTTAAAAATTGTAATGAGATGAATCTAATGTAATTGTAAGAAATTCTGAGAGTTGGTGTAGGAAAGCATTTTTATTGTGGTCTTCCTGAGCTGGGTTACGCTATTGATAATGAGTTTAGAGGAAATGAACTGGAATGGTGTGGGTTTACTGAGAGACACGTGGGGCAGCACTTAGGTAAGCAGCACGCTGCATGTTAGCTGCTCCATTGCAAGCAGCCAGCATGCACTGCTCTGCCTTGGTGTGAGGCAAGGTAACAGCAAGAAGGCAGTTATCCTGCACTTGGCTGTGCCAATTTATTAAGCAAATTGAGGGTGACTGCTAAATTTAAAATGCATGCAAAAGAAGAAAAATAATAGTAAATTTTAAGTAAGTATTCTCCTGAAGCTTTTGATTTTTGAGTGTAATTTCATAATTGACTAAGGTTATCATTGCAGAATTTAGTTGTTTAGCATAAATCTAAAGATTTTTGCATTATTCTTTTGCTAATACTAATTAGCATTTTTATCATCACCTCACTTGGTTTTAAACATAAGTCCTGAAATTGCGTTACATTGTTCTTATGCAGTCTTGAAAATAGGGTCTATATATAAATATAGAAATATAATTGCTTATACTTATATAGAATTGTACAAAGAATGTAAAAATGAATTTTGAGTTTGGCTTCACTAACACTGACTGGTTTGTACTTCACAGAGTGTGGAAGGAGAGCACCATGAGAAAGCAGTGGAACTGCTGAAGGCAGCTCAAGGGAAGGTTAAATTAGTTGTGCGATACACACCAAAAGTCCTGGAAGAAATGGAGTCCAGGTTTGAAAAGATGAGATCAGCAAAACGAAGGCAGCAAAATTAACACTGTGTGCAATAACTTAAAGAGAAAATATATATTCCTTTTGCATTTTGTAGTTTCTTTGTGACTCAGTTGATCCAATGCCTGTCATGAGACATTGTCCTTTTAGTAGAGTTGTGGAACAGTTGAGGTTGGAGGGACTAGATCTAGTCCATGCCCCATTGCCCAGCTGAGAGGAGGGCCAGCTGGAGCAGGTTGCTCAGGAGTGAGACAAGCTGGGTTTTTAAACATCTCTAAAGGATGGTGTCTCCAGAAGATGTCTGGGCAGTATGTTCCAGTGTTTTGCTCTCCCTTACACTACAAAGATCCATTCCTGTGTTTAAGTAGAGCTTTGTTATTTCCACTTGTGCTCTCTTCCTCTTGTCCATCACTAGATTTACTGGGAAGAGTTAAGCTCTTCTTCACTCCTCCCTCTCAGGCATTGACACAGGCTGGTGAGGTGACCTGACCTTTCTCTTCTCCAGGTGAGAGAGACAATCCCAGCTCTCCTAAATTCTCCTTGTCTGTAAGATACTCCAGTCACTTAACCACCTCTGTGGCCCTTAACTGGATTCACTCTTGTGTGCCCATTTCTGTGTTGGACTGGGGAGCCCAGAACCGGACCCAGCACTCGAGTTGTGTCTCAGGAGAACTGAGCAGAGTGAAGAGTCCCCTCCCTCAGCTTGCTGGCAGTGCCCCTTCAGTGCACTCCAGGGGACTCTTGGTTTCTTTGCTGCAGGGGCCCCTGGTGGCTCATGGCTTGCTGCTGTTCTCTGCAAAGCTGCTCTGCAGCTGCTCAGTCCCCACTCTGTGCTGGTGGACAGGGCTGTTCCCCCGTGCAGGACTTTGCACTTTTCTTTGTCGACCTTTGTAACTCTTGTTTGCCCGTTTCTCCAGCCTGCTGAGTCCCTTTGAATGGTTTGCTGAGCGTGATGTGTGCCAGCCCCTGGGTTGATACTAAAAACGTGCAGGAGTGTGGCCCCAGCAGGGCCCTGGCTGCACTGGTGGTGACTGGCACCCAGCAGGATGCTTGGCCACTGATCACAGCAATGCCCAGCAGCTCAGCCAGCTCCAGAATGTCTGCAGTCTTCTTGTGCTCCACAGTTCAGGAGGAATGTGTGGGTTTAGAGTGGCCTAAAATGCCCTGGGAAAGCATATATGGTGATGTTTCTCTTGGCTTTTTTTGTAAGTCTTGTGTCAGACTTTTAAGCAACAAGGTGAATTTACAGATTTTTCAAAGGCATTTAATAAGACATAGTTGTACAATCAGCATCCTTTTTTTCCTGCTTTCTTTTGACATTACTTAGTTTAGAATCTGCTGGGGGTTTTGCTAACTGATTTTTTTAAAGAAAGAAGATTCTTATGTAGCAGTATTTTGGCACTTTTCTTAAGAATATGTTGTATGTCAACTACAAAATGTAATCACAATCTACTGTGTAGCTGATAACAATACCAGATTTTGTAATGTTTTTGGTAAGTACATTGTTTTTACACTTCTGCTAAATTATAATTCACTACTCTGGAAATTGTATTACCTCTCCTGTAAATAATTTACAGTTGGTGTTCTTATATAATGATGTTGTAATAGCCAACATTTACAAATTTGCAACAATCATTCCTGTAATTTACATTATTTTGTACTAATTTTAAAGCAGTTATGGGGAAAAACATGATTGCTGTTTGCAGTTCTGGATTGACTCTCTAGATGTATTTTTATATTGAGAAACAGAAGATATTTAAATGCAGTGCAAAAAGAATTCCAGATGTTCCCCTGACTTTCTGCTGTGTAAAAGAATTAGTTATCTCTAATTGTCATGCCATTCTTGTCTTTCTAGTATCTTTTATTGTAGTCTTATTTCCATGTTGAATGTATTGGTTCTGGAATTGTTAGTACCTAAATTACTGATTGTTATTGAGTCTTGTATGCCAGGTTACTGTGACATGTGAACTTGTCTGGGGTTTTCACTGCTTCTGACTGGGGGGTTCTTGTTTGTACTGCAGAAGTACAACTTCACAACTGCTAAAAAAGGACATCTCCGTCTGTGGACAAGTACTGTCTTAGCTCATGGATTCTTGATGGTAGCATGGGTTTTGTGTACCATTTGGAAAATTTCTGGACAGAGATCCACTTTTTGGAATCTACCAGGTTTGATGCTGTACTTGTGTAGTTTAGGTTCTGGGTTTGGGTTTTAAGCTACACCTTTAGAAGAATTAACTTCATTGTCTACTGGGTATCAGTTCACTTGTATGGCAGCTATGAGTACATCCTAATTGACTGTTAGTAATTTGATTTTTAGAGGCTTAAACTGACAAGTGCAGTTCCTGCTATGTGGTTAATCCCTAGTCTTAATTCACATGAAGCAATATGTGAAAGAAAGAAAGGAAAAGGTTAGTAATCTAAAAATGACAGCTTGAAGCTTGTGCTTTGTCAGTTGATCTATTTGGGAAAAAAAAAAAAAAGGGGTTGCTATAGGCAAGTGAGAAATGTGATTGCTTTCTGCATGTTTGTAAGCATGGTAAGCCTGCAAAGAGACGTTTGGGAGATACTGGTAATTTGAAAATGCAGTATAAATATTTATCAGTTAGATGACATTGAGCACTGAATTGCATGGTTGGTTTCATGTCATAGGCCTATTTCAGAAGGCTCATGTTGCTGATACCACCATGTTGTTGAATTGTATATTTTTATGGAACAACTAATGTTTAAAGTATTGAGACCAAAATCACTAGTTAGACCAATTGTGGATGTGTTTTAATTTAATTGTTAATTAGTAGAGATATGTTTTAGAGCCATATATAAATATATATATTACAGAAAGATATGGATACAAGATAGGAATGTTCATTTTACAAACTGTATCCCTTGTATTACTGAACAAGGTGTGTTTTGTTACTCTAATGAAATATTTACTTCACTGCAGCTAGAGCTGCTAAATGCAGTAGCATTTTCATTCTGAATTGTAGCATTTGCTTCTGGTTTGGCGACTACTACGAAATGTGGATTCACATGAAGCAATATGTGAAAGAAAGAAAGGAAAAGGTTAGTAATCTAAAAATGACAGCTTGAAGCTTGTGCTTTGTCAGTTGATCTATTTGGGAAAAAAAAAAAAAAGGGGTTGCTATAGGCAAGTGAGAAATGTGATTGCTTGCTGCATGTTTGTAAGCATGGTAAGCCTGCAAAGAGACGTTTGGGAGATACTGGTAATTTGAAAATGCAGTATAAATATTTATCAGTTAGATGACATTGAGCACTGAATTGCATGGTTGGTTTCATGTCATAGGCCTATTTCAGAAGGCTCATGTTGCTGATACCACCATGTTGTTGAATTGTATATTTTTATGGAACAACTAATGTTTAAAGTATTGAGACCAAAATCACTAGTTAGACCAATTGTGGATGTGTTTTAATTTAATTGTTAATTAGTAGAGATATGTTTTAGAGCCATATATAAATATATATATTACAGAAAGATATGGATACAAGATAGGAATGTTCATTTTACAAACTGTATCCCTTGTATTACTGAACAAGGTGTGTTTTGTTACTCTAATGAAATATTTACTTCACTGCAGCTAGAGCTGCTAAATGCAGTAGCATTTTCATTCTGAATTGTAGCATTTGCTTCTGGTTTGGCGACTACTACAAAATGTGGAGAGGTGTACCTGGGCACATAAATAGCACGTGTAGAGTTTGATAAAATGTTTTTAAATTGCAGTAACAAAAAAATCAATAACAGCCAACTAATTAATAATCATCTTTGACGCTAGAAGAACCTTTTATTAATAAGGGAAGGATCAATTAAAATACTCCAAGAAACTGCATCTCTGTTACTACTGAGCAGTGCCTGTACTGTGTTCATCTGCAGTCCCTACACACTCCTTGTACATGGATATGCCAACATATTAAGAAGAGCTGTCATTTCTGCAAGTGACTTCTGCATCTGTTGCTGCTGTGAAGGATCTTTGGGTCTCATCAGCAGAAAAATAAAAATTCAGTCTGACACCATTGTGTTTGTGTGTTTTTCTTCTGCCTTTCCATTTTGAGTCCAGGTTCCAGACTGCTTTAATTGGCTGTTTATAGTCTCTAGGGCATAACATAAACACCTGGGTGTGTGTGGGCATCCAAAGAGAAAAACTTTAAATCGCTGCTTAGTTTGTCTCCAGATGGCTTTTGAATCGTCCCTTTTCTACCCAGTGTTTGGTGATCTGCTGGGGAAAAAGAGTGCTATAAAACATCTGTAATAGTTAGAACCTTTTGCATTTTTGAGAAGTCAGCTGCATAAACTCTAAGATGCACATTATTCTGAGTCAGCTATTACCTTTTAGATGTTTGAATCAAGTATCTCATTCCGAGTCAGATATTTTAATTGTTTGAATCAAGTATCTTAAGTAATGAGATACTGAATTTCTGTAAGGTCTTCGAAGGACAACTTGTCAGTAAAGTGTTTCTGGAGTTATGAACTGAGATTAACACAGAGAAAATGCTTTGAATGTAAAACAAGTTGGGGTTTTGTTGATTTTTTTTTTCAAATTTAAGTAGGCTGGACTATGAATTGAAAGTACATGGAGAAATGTTATGTGAACACTTGATGTAGAGGATGGGAAATAACACATTGAGTTTTATTTGAAAACCAAATGTTTACCATGCCCTGTCTTACGACAGTGAAGGAAGTAAAAAAGCAAAAGTTGGAATTGAATTGGTACAAGAAAAGGGTGGTAGGTAAACAGTGGAATTCCAGGGAAATGGTGGACAAGGTGCAGTTTGAGTAATTCTTTGTCTCCTAAAATCCTGGTGAGAAGCTGGTTTCAGAGGTAAGTCTGGGCTGCAGTGTTCACTTTTCCAGAGGAATAGTCCAAAGTCTGGAGAGTCATGTAGGCACAGTTTGTGGTGACTGGGAGTGGGGCTGATCCCTAATTGATCCCTAATTGGCTCCAGCTATGCAGCACAGGTGAATGCTATTGAAGGTGAGGAGCCATGGAGTGCCCAGGGGTGCTGCCCAATCCCACAGGGAGCAGAGGGCACACAGCTGCACTGCATCAACAGCAGGGCACAAAAGGGGCTGAAGGACAAGAAGGGCAGAGCTTGCAGCCTCCTGAAGAGGTGAGGTGTGACTGTGTGAGGGTTGGAGCTTTGTGAAATGGTGTGTTGGTGATGTGTGCTGTGACTGTCTGAAGTTCAGAAGTGGGCCTCAGGATAAAGGAGATTGCTAGTTCTAATAATTTTAAAAACCCTATATAGCTTTCCTTTAAAATTAAGTTAGAAATAACTTGAAGCTTGTTTCTTGTTGCTTTAGAGACAAGTCAGTTTTTAAGTGACAAAATCATGGAACGTAAAATAAGCTCTGTATTCCTCACCTTTGTTAGCTTTACTTGTGCGGTTGTCTGGGATATTTGGGGGCAGGGGTGAGTAAATTGGGCATTTTATTGGTAACCAAAGGTTTAAAATAAGTCTGCACAGACACATGCCAACAATTTCCCACTCCTCAAAAAAAATCCCTCCCCCAGTGCAGCTGTGCAGGTGCCTCTGCCCTCGGAGAGAGCCCCTCAGGTAAGAGAAGTGCCACCAGGTGCACTTGTGGCACGTGTCCCTGCCTGTGGCAGGGGCTGGAACTGAGGGAGCTGGAAGGTTCCTTCCAAACCGTTCCATTTCCAGGCTGCCCACTGCTGCTCTGGGTTGGCTGGGGGTAGGAAGCAGGGGAAGGTGCCTGAGAAACAGGGATTTGATGCCTTCTGCCTTCCTTCTGCTTTCATACAGTAAGATGTTTCATGCTGTCGCTTACAGTGGAGTGCCTCTAAAAGTTGCAAAATACAAATTAAAACCTCTTATTACAAAAACTTTCTAGCTAGAATACAGACTGACATGAATATTGGACTAAACCCTGAATTTAAATTCCAGCAATTTTGTCCTAAATTGCTGTTTAATTCCTGTATTAATTAATTCCTGTAATTAGCTACCTAATTTCAGCTGATGACTGGGTTAGTGACAAGATAAAATTTGTTATGATGCTATTGTGGTGTCCCTCTTTTTTTCAAGGGAAACACATAATACTGGAGAAACTCCATAGTTAACTCTAGACAGCAGAAGACTTGACACATCTGGGCTGAAAAAACTCCACCAACAAAAAAAGAACAAAATAATAAAAATAACAACCCTACACACACACTTTTTGAGCTGCCCTCTCCTTTGGCTTCGCTCAATCCAATTTACAGAAGGTTGGATTAAGCTGCCTGCAGTCATTCTCTTTTAGCTGTGGTACAACATCTCATTTCTACTGGCAGCCCAGCTCGCTGCATTTCAGAGGCATCTTTTGGAATAATGGAGCAAGGATACAATCATCAGGCCAAACTGCAAAATACTTCCTGCTCTGGATCATCTAGGTAATGCATGCACAGGGACAGGTGGGAGAGACTCTGTGCCATTGGAAGTTAAGCATTGTTTACATAGAAAGGTAATATTTAATCATAAGCAATTCTAAAATTAATTTTCTCTCAGGCTTCTATTTAACTTGTGTATTTTTTCCTTCACTTTACATGTGCTGTTTCTAAACTGTGGATTTTAGTGGTCTTGCTTGTCCTCATTGGTTTTTCTTGTTTTACAGAGGTAGATATTGGGAAACAAATTTTCTGGGCAAATTATTGACTCTATCAAAATAACTTTTCTTCCCAATAATTTTTCGGAAGCTTTAAATTGTTTCTGTATTTGTGCTATACCAAGGTTTGGATCTTTACCTTCATTTTCTTAACAAAGCTTTGAACTTGGCTGAGCCTTTCTTTTGTCACTTGTTTCCTGAAGCGGCTTTCAGTTCTACTTCACCTGAGTAAAAGTTTCAGCGGTTTTTTTTTGGGTTTTTTTTTTGTGGGAAGAGAGCTTGCTGTGTCAGTGCAGATATTCCAGACTGTTCTTTCTCCACACACAGCAGCTCTGTGTCACGTTCTCCAGCATAACTTTAATTTCCTGGTGTCGTGGTTTAACCCAGCCAAACCCAGCACACCGTGTAGGCAGAATCCCAGTGGCAATTGCATTTCCCAGCAGTGTGGACTCAATAACAGCAGCGGCAGCTTTTGCATGTGATGCCTCTTTCACAGTTTGGGTGAATCCTTCAGGTCCATTTCCAACCCACTGGAGCACAAAGCTTATTTTTATCACTAGACAGAGATGAAATTTAAAGCTGCTCTGAACTGCATACATTTCCGTGTTTACATCTGCATACTAAACTGGGTCTGGGCAATCCTTAGGGAGGGGAGCAGCCCTTGGGGCACATCCTGCCACATCAGCATTTCTGATGGAGGATAATTGGGATGTGTGAAACCAGGGGTGAAACGGCTCTCCTTGCAGGACTAACACACTGACTGCGTTTTTATCCCAATTTAGAAATTAAAACCTCCATGCAAATCCCTGGGTTTTTTTCTGTAAAGTCTAAGAAATTCTTACAAAGTCTTTATCA